AAAAAAAAATCTGAAACTGCATTTAGGAGTGGCTCAATACTGGCTGGCCATATTCGGGCTGGAGTTGGAAATTGATTTCTGGCCCAAATACTTCACTCCACAACCGGCCCTCATCTGGTTTGCCAGAGTCAAGCCAGTGCCTCCTTTGCCACGCCTGGGCCGTGTTCGGCCCACATGCGTTATGCCATTGCCGACACCAGGCCAGCTGTGCCGGCTTCATGCCGAAGCCGGGCCAGATGCCTTTGCTGACTGGGTAGTAACAGTAAAGAGATTTTCGTCTCTTTATAAACACACTTGCTAAACCCCAGTGGAACGAATGAAAGACGCCGTGGACAAGACAGTTGCTGTCGTAAAAATATATTTGGACAAAAAGGGAAACACACAGATTGGCAGAAAAACGTGTCCGTCCGACTTCGAGTGTCATCTCGGCTAGCTTAGCTTAGCTGTTGTTGTGTGTGACGTCGGTTGCATCGGCGCTGATTGGTTGAAATAAAAAGACGCACTTGCGTACACGTTCGCGCTGACGCACGCACAGCAGAGAGCAGCGGACTATCTACTGCTGAGGCGCGCTTAGCTCGAGTGGCGTCGCCACAACAGTAACACCCTCCTCGCCTCACATTCTCATGGCCTTGCCAAATCTTGGAGATTTCGAAATTTCGGCGAGAACGAAAGCCACAAAGGGTACACATGTGCACACAAAAGGAAGATTATATTGCAAAAACATACGCAACTTGTTTAATCCGTGGATGCTGAACCGCAAGAATGTGGTGGTCCACTGTTCTGTTTACCGATCCGTTTTATCCTCACAAGGGTCGCGGGGGGGTGCTGCAGCCTATCCCAGCCGTCTTCGGGCAGTAGGCGGGGGACACCCTGAACCGGTACCAGCCAATCACAGGGCACATAAAGACGAACAACCATCCAGGCTCACACTCACACCTAGGGACAATTTAGAATGTTCAATCAGCCTGCCACGCATGTTTTTGGAATGTGGGAGGAAACTGGAGTACCCGGAGAAAACCGACTCAGGCACGGGGAGAACATGCAAACTTCACACAGGAAGGCCGGAGATGCAATCGAACCCTGTATCTCTGCACTGTAAGGTCGACACGTTAACCACTGGACCACCGGTCCGCCCTGTTCTGTTTAGCGGGACATAAAATTTTACCTTTAGGCTTACGACTGCTGGGCAGCAAAAAAATAACTGACAAGTGTCTTTTTTTTTTTTTAAATTCCTCATGGTTTAATGGTTTGAAACATACAATTTGGGTAAAGCACCATTCATTCTCGACTAAATACTTGGAATTTTAATTTTGACTTTGTTTCCTACCAAATTACATCATCCCTAAAATTTGGCCAATGCAGCAATTTCATGCACTGTAATATGCCTAGTTTCCAAAGAGGTGTTTAACGGCTTACCTAATACACTCCAATAGAGCAAAAAAAATGAAGCACTTTTGATTTTAATAAGTGGAAATGCCTTCTGCTGACCATGGAGGAGAATTACTTTGTACAGTAATTTAAAAATTTCCCTCTGCTGACTGGAGAAAGAATCTATTATTAGCAACCTAAGAAAAAAAGGCAGTACAATGGTACCTCTACTTATGAAATTAATTGCTTCTGGAAGAAATTTTTGGAGGTAGATGCATTTTCCATGTAAATTCCCTAATCCGTTCCAAGCCGTCCAAAATTCAGACATAAATGTTTTCTCAAATCGTAAAAATGCATCAAAATATGTAACAAATACATGTTACAATTAGATTATTGCACAATAAATGAAAGTTGTGCATAACGTGAAAAACAAAGAATAAACAATAACAATGATGGTCATTTAACTTTTAACTCCATCTTCATCGTTTTTTGCCCTCTGTAGTTCATGTTCTCACTCAGAAGTGGTTTTTGCATGGTGTTTTGTAAAGAACTGATCCAAGGACGTTTGCTTTTGATTTAACAATCCTTTGAAAATGTCCAAGGCAAACATCAGCATAGTGAGCGATTGCCCAAGTAGTGATCACTTTTTCTGGGTGATTCACATTTACATAAAACTATCCGAACATCTCATGGCCCAAGGGACGAATGACGAGGACGCTGCATAGACACATATTTATCTATCTACACACATAGATACATACGAGATCCCGCTTAGCCAATGGGATGCCAGGAAGATGCTCGGGAATAGCCAATGGCAGAGCAGCTATAAGTATGTTGCGTTCAGGAAACTCTGAGCTGCGAGTTGCAGCCCACACTGTATTTTCACTTTTTGTATCTTGAAATTTCTTTCATAACAAGAGGCAATATTTTCCTGTTGAGACGTTTCGTAACTTGAAAATTTCGTATGAAAAGATGTTCGTAAGTAGAGGTACCACTGTGCTGAGAATATATATTTTTTCAATCCGAGGTTGTCCTAACACCTCTGCTCTGTGAAATTTGAAGGGCTAAAATTAAAAATTAGTTGATTTGTTATACTCATGACATAACAGATGTTAGGTAAATACTGCAGTAAAAGAAGTATAACATGGAGTGGGGTTGGGGTCACTGAAGAGTAGTAAAATCGAACAAGGCATGGCAGGAGTGTTGCAATGTGAGTTGGAGGAGTTTGTCCAGGAAATTTTAAAAACCAAAAATTGACAGAACATTTTTTTTCCTGTGTACTATAGGTGAATAGACAGAGCCAAAGGTGCCGAAGGATTCAGCGACGTGTTGACACACCCTATCCACTGGTGTCTGGGCCTCTTCCATTGCCAAAAGGAGGAAGTGGAGGTGTAGGAGGGGGATTGACAGGTGCCCTGCTAGGTGTTGGGGTATCAGGGGCCAGCATGGGAACTGGAAGCTCTGTCTACCCGAATGGGGCCATAATGACGACTGGACTGGGCCAACCTTGCTCCTGCCAGCAGTGCATGCTTGTCTTTAGTGTCAAAACCAACACTGGAGGAGCAGGACGCTCACTAACCATACAGCGGCCCAAGGCTTCAGCACTCACTGCCTCAAAACCCTTGAATCCACCCAAATCAGCCACCCTGGGGCGTGGACAGCACTTGAAGTCCAATGGCAACACCTATCAAACGCTACCACATGGCCTTGCCATCTCGAAAAACACTGCATCTCCAAGAAGGAATGCCCAGCTCTTTGCTCAGTCTCTAGCTGTGCTCACAACAGGGACTTCCATGCTTGGCATTTCCTCATCTTCCAGGCCTCCTCCTCCGTCACTGCCGCCCCCTCAGCCACCATCATCCAATATGACTGTGAATCCTCCGCCTGTTCCAGCCAAACAGTCTTCATCTTCAGCCAACGAATCAGTGCCAACTGCCACATTAATTACCCCGGCTAACACGGTGACCACACCCCCATCCCCTGTGCCATCTCCATCTCCAGCAGTAATGAAGCCACAACGTGTGCCATCATCCGCATCCAAAGTTTGCCATGCCCCGCTACCGCAGAGATCAAGCTTAGCTGGACTGAGTAGACCAGCGTTGCAAAGGATTGCCATGGCCCAGTCGAGAGCACTAATAGCGTCGGGGTAAGTGAAGGTGTATATTTCAACTCAGGAACCTTTAACTCATGTTTAACTGAAAAGTTTGTCGGGTCTAAATAACAAAAGTCCTCATCTTTGCACTTGCAGTATCTGCTTAAAACGTGCTTTCATAGGTCAAGGTCAATTTTATTTATATAGCACATTTAAAATACAGTAAACACTGCCCAAAGTGCTGCACATATTAATTAAGATAACATAATAAAAAGACATAACAGAGAGAAAAAAAAAACAATTCGAGACAATAAGATACAAATGTCCAGCTCAGCTCGTTTTAAATGCCAGCGCAAATAAACGTCTTTTTAAGAGTGACTTAAAACATTCAATAGATGAAGCAGTGCAAACACAACACAATACATCTTTTTTTTTATATAGCGCTTTCACAACATGTGTGACATCATGCATGCTGTGCGGATGACTTCTCTAACCACTGGTGAAAGGAGACTTTGATTCTCTACCATAGATGGTAATTTTCCGCGTATCCGCGGAAATCCGCCGTTTTATTTCTTAAATTGATCATTTTTGTGAATCGTCTAAATCCGTTGAGAAAATTTTAGGGGCGGTACCTTATCGTCGAGTTTTCACGAGCTCTCCCGAACAGTCTCTCCGTTTTCTGTTTGTAAACAGCCCTGCGATTGGACGTGTATGAAAGCTTCAACTAATCAGATCACAGCTCGATTATATACGGCCCAGCGATTGGTTAACTACAAGCGATTGGACCAATCAAATTGCATGTAACATATTGTTTTACCTGATTCATGGTGGCCTGTTTGTCTCGCAAATTCATTGTTCTGGGATCGTTTTGAGCGGAATTATGAAATTTTTGACGAAAGATCAGGAGTCTTCAATCCTAGAAATTGACTCAAACGTCAAGAATAAATTCCGATGGGACTGGCTTGACAGAAAAGTCACTGTAAAGGTTAAAATTGGTTCCAAGTTCGACGAAGTTACAGAAGCTCTTGGACAATTTTTGAAGAAACCAGACGTAGCAGGCAAAGTTTATTGTGTGTATTGTAGTGACTTAATTTACTATGGCTCCCGTGGATGCGTGGCACTGACAGATAATGCAACAAAAGTGAAAAAACATGCCGACAAAATCGCCATTCGACGGAGCAATTATTCTTTGGGATCGGCATTTTTCAAACAAACTTAGTCAGCGGATACAACTAAAGACGTTACGCGCTGGAGTACCAAGCAACGAAATCTGCTCCACTGACGCCCCTCGCCGATAGACAGGTACACTCCGAGGTATATACTTTTTTATTCAAATATACGAGGATGATAATTTCAATTTTATTTGGTATGCATTTGTAGCAACAGCATGATAACATTTATTTGTTTTTATTTGCGTTTTATATTCATATTGATAATTCACGTTTTGTCTTGGATAAGAAAGCACGGTTATGCATAATAAATTGTATGCATAATAAATATTCACTATCACTGTATGAGGTAAGAATCAACAGCTTTTTATCACATTTACACAACACTTTATGAATACAAGTCATGAACAAATCTTAAATATGGCAGGGAATGTGTTTACTTTTTTAGTTTTGATTTTGAGGAGCAAATTTGGAGTTACATATTGGTGCTCACCAGGAATGCATAAGCAAAATTGCACAAATTTTCACTTGAAAGAATAGTGGCGATCTTTTTCTGTTCAATTTTCAAATAGTGTGTAAATTCAATACACTTCATCTTCAGCATGTTTAGTGCCACTTTTGTAAGTAACCACGCCCCCGCCCAGGCCACGCCTCTTCCGCTTTTTTCATCACTCGCCATTGCCATCTATGCTCTACTCTTTGGTCTGTAACCACTTCAAACAACAAAGGCGCACATAGGAATAGTTGTTACGATTTTATGTTCGGCGCTCATTCCAAAGTTTAGGTCCTGCGACCACAAACGGTCTTGCCCCCGCTGGTTTTCAGCCTTGAACATGGACAGGTTCACAAAAACTGGTCACATTACCACAGGGCTCCTACTACAGCGTGCAAACACAACATGCTCCCGCCATCGGTTATTCTAGCTATTGTATTTGGGTAAAATTTATTTTTGCTTGGTTCGGGAGTAATTATGAATACATACGAGAAACTAAGAAAGTCCACATAATAATGACTCACACGGACACGAACGATCGGGTTGGAAGGCAGTCTCAGAGTGCCGAATCTGTAGCGGTGATCTTTGATCGCCTTGGTCAACTTTACATCATCCAGACGTGCAGGTCTGCTTGCAATTCCTTTTAAGGTACTTTGTACACTTCGATCTTCTGCCTGGACTTCAGCAAGTCAGTTTCTGCTTCTGCGATGTCCAAGTCTGTGCCCCTCTCACATGCTGAATTGAAAGTGAATGAGGGGAGCTGCAAAGCTAGTCCGCTGTGTTGATACCCATAAGGGTGCAAAAGGTCAATTTCTCTTCGTACACATTTTCCAAAATACCAAAAGAAAGAAAAATCTATCCACGCGCACAGGTATGCTGTACTGCACATTATGCTAGAAATGTGCTGGACATTGAAATAGAGCGCTAAGTCTTTAACTTCAAATTTCAAGTCAGGTGTCAAGCTTTTTAGTTTTTGTCAAGTTACAAGTCATCAAAACAGTGGTTCCACTCCACTCTAGTCGAAGTCGCAATAACTTAGGTCCACATCTCTGTGAAACACCATAACATGTTTAACCCAGTGTTTTTCAATCTTTTTTGAGCCAAGGCACATTTCTTACATTAATAAAATCCCGCGGCACACCACTACCTGAAAATGTGAAAAAGCTTATTTAAACAATTGTTATATTGTTACGCTAAGCGTTTTTTTTAAACATTGAAAATTAATGCAATATTATGACACATTGAATAGGAATCAAATCAACATCAATCCAATATTTGGTGCATTCGTTTTAATGGCAAGTAAAATATAGTCAATTCGAACTTTCACTTCTCAGGGTCCTATTTTTTCTGTGTGACAGTCGGTTCTTTTTCTCCCAGTCGTTTGCGCTCTCCTGCAATATTGTACCAATCGCTTTTCCCATCTTGAGTCTTTGTATAATTCCAACATCATTCAAATGACTTATCTGCTGAATGTGTTGCTTGAGTTGGTCCAGCTTCCATTTAGTCCGTATTCTTCCATCGGAAAATTTGCTTACAGCTTTAGCTTTGCTGCTTATTTTGGTTTGGGGAGACGACGTATCACATTCACTGCCCAGTCGTTTCGCCATGATAAAGGATTACTATTAGCGTCACTTATCGCCGCTGCATTGTTATTGTTATGGAGCAGAGAACATGCGCAAGTACTGTCAATGCCGTGATTGGCTGCATAGCGTCATTGCATCGTATCGTGTGATTGGCTGGACACCTGTCACTCACTGGATTACACAGCAATTTGATACAGAAAACATATATAATTCATTTGCGGTGTGTTCACTGTGCTGCATAGGTTTTCTTGTGCACTGAGAGTGTGCGACCAGTGCGCAGTTGCACAGCTTAGAGGGAACATTGGTGCCGTTGCATCTCCAGTAAACGTAAATCTAAATGAAAGATACCTTTCATTGTATTGCCTCACGTCGGAAACTTCGCTTGTCTCGAAGCATAAGGCAATTTCCTAGCTACTGCTGCTCCCGACCGGTATGGAAGAGTACTTCATGATTACTCTTCCAGGCGATCGACTGCACAGGCATACATATTGTATAATTTCCCAAGCCACACCTGACAATATTTCGTGGCACACTGGTGGTTTGAAAAACACTGGTTTTCACCAATGCTGGACAGAAACCGCCCAGCTGAAAAACTGCAGTTTTCATGAGTGGAACAGAATTTACCAGTGTTTTCATATATACTTAAGATTGTTCTTTTTTTCCAGCATCGGGGTTAAGTCACAGTACTGGTTCATCATAAAAAACATTTGCAAATGAATTTACCATGAAAATAGAACGATCTGGAAAGTCAAACTAACTAAATAGCAACACAGGCAAGTATGAGCAAATGGCATCACAACTACGCAGTCCAAAGTCACGTGACCTCAAAAGTGAGGGTTGCTCCGGCCTGAGACACAGGCCAGTGTTGAAATAGCAAATGCATCAGAAGAACCCAACTATTTAATTGTGAAAAAGCAGCAAAAATCATCTGAAGCATTGCTGTTTGCAACTTTTGTCTTGTCTAGTGGTGAGTGATGTCATGTCGCACAGTACATCTTTGGTTTTATGAGAAAAATCCCAAGTGTTGATTGAACACCAAGCTAACGGAGGCAAGTGTCAGGTTTATCCAATTTGACACTCAGGAATAAAACACGAGACAGGAGACTCAATTCTGGTACCAGGAGGGAACGAGGAGAAGCGTTCGGTTTCAGTTCTCGGCACGTCACCCCTCACGATCTCCCCCTTCACCCCCTTATTTATTGGGAAATCTACTACATAGGTGTGTCCAACCTAAAGGATGGGGGCTGTTGAAGACACACTGAACTTGTTTGACTATGTGTGTGTAGGTGAGTGTAAATTACGTACATGTGTGCAATTGTTACAAAAACATCACGTTGCAGCTGGTGTTGATGGCTCCATTCACTGTCCAACCTTGCTCCTGTTTAGTCTTAACACTTATCTCTTCCCAACCACGTCCTCGCAAAGGTGGTTGCGTCCCTAAACTTCCACACAGTGCACTAAGCATTCTT